TGAAACTTATAAAATCTTGTTTACGATTTGAGAATTAATGAATTAATAATAATTAATGAAACATCAAAAATAGTTCTGTATTCGTATTGGGATTCTAAAGTGATAAGTTATGCAACCTTAGAATATGGACGTGGTGTATTATTATTATATTGTAGGAAAAAGATATTTATTCTCAAAATAACAGTGGATTGCTCAATGTACAATATAAGTTTAGAAATTAATATTTAAAAATTGTAATAAACATAACAGACTGTACTTATTATAATAAAACCTACCATGTTATAATAAAAAATATTATTGTATGATCAGCATCAAAATTAGATTAAGATTTTCAATAGTTTTATATTATATACCGCTATATAATATGTAAGTCGTTGCAAAGGTTATTTAGCTAATTGTAATCCATTTAGGATGTTCATTCAATTCTAGTACTTATCTAATATGGGGTTTTTTAAACCTGTAGGTATAATATTAATCGACGTTTGAATATTGCACTATTTTCAAACAATTTTACTCAAATTAGTACATTCCTGTTTTTTTTTTATGGTGAGAATGAAATGACAACCCCGCCTGCGCTAACGGAATACGCAGGCAGGGCACCAGTGAACGGTGAAGTGATAAGGATGAAACTAACTGACCTTAGCCAATCATGACGAATTCAACAGGAATTAACTACGACGGTTTCCAGCGTCGTACTTGGTTTTGTATATAATACCCCCCCCCCCCCTCGTACATCCCTGTTAGGGACAAATTTTAAAATTTTGGATTTGTGCTTGTTAACTTTTCCTCGTCTTTATTAAACTTATCCGGATAAGCGTAGTGACGTGGGGTGTTTGTGTTTTCGCCAAAGTCTCCCCAGCGGCCATTTGTCGGCAGTGTATCCCGGCGGCCTCGTTACGACATCCCGCGTCAACGCAGCGCTGATTTATTCATCTCCCGCCACCTCGCCAATACAACTGACAAATAAATGTCGCTTTTGTTTCCCTTTACCAAGAGATTTAGTGTTGCTGTGTTGATGAGGGAAACGCTGCGCTGCTCTATACCTGCAGGAATTTCATATATCAAGGATAATAATTTATCTTTTTTTATGCTTAAATATAAGACCGCGATTTACAAACTTCATTAATTCATTAGCAATTTAAAAATAATACAGGAAAAAATATGTAATATGTATCCTATCTATGCTATAATTCGCCTTTTATACTATAGTTCTATACTTTACTATACTACTTTTATACAAGAAAATAACTATGAATAAAAAATTCGCGCGAATTGATAAAAATATATAGGTAAAATATTATAATCTTTTTTATTAAATTCTTATGTTGAACTAGATTTTTACTCGTTACTTCGCACGCGTGATTTTCAGAAGCAGGAAAACTAATGAAATGGACCATTTCAAGATAAAACATATACCAGTTTTTCAATTAGACTTTCAGGAATATAAATTTGTAAACAGATTCCAAGTCGGTCTAATTTTTGTGTGATGCCGGAACAATCATATAAAAAGACAGACAAAATTTCTATAAAATATTATTTTGGCATCTATTATGACCCCTCATATTATTTTTTCTTATATATCTTCCATTTACAGATATCGTTCAGTTACAATTTTATTATATTAGTAAGATAATAGTGGTTGTAGATAAACTAGTGTCAGAAGAAATATTCATTCGCTCATAAGGCTTATATAGCTCGAGATTGTGATCTTTGTTTCAGTAGAGTATCTCCGTGTTTTTGTCTATAGGAAAGGGCATACTCGTGAGGACGAAAGCACTTTAGATAATTCATCACAACGAATTCGATACGAACTAAACGTGATAGTTTCCAGGGAAAACTGTATAGAGATCGAACGGAATGATTTGCTAGTAATGAGGCTGTTGGATCTCATTGTTAACAATTACTTAACTCCATTTTATTGTTACCTATTATAGCCTCATCTCGTTGTTGTCAAACTGGTATCCTTACCAGTACTCGTATCCGGAGATTAGCGAACCCATTGCTAGCAATGTGCTTTGTCAGATAAAAATCCACATCTTCTTTTGAAAACCATCGTGGTTATTTATTTATTTACACTTTATTAAACCAGATATTACTAGCACAGGTAAAATAAAATTAATACGTATAAAAAATTGCTGGAAACTTAAAACTTATACTTATATAGCATAGTTAATTATTGAGTAAAGATGACTTTGTAAAAAAGTTCACCTCGGAAAATGAAGCCAGTTTTCACAAATGATTCAAAAAGTACTACATAAATTTAACATATTTTAAGAACAACAACAATTGCAGCCAAAGTAATTATGAATATTTGGAATTTCTTTTAATATTCTAAATGAAAAATTGGTCAATATATAATAGTTTCAAGTAGGGTATTTTTACGCTCTGTAAAGTGCGGGTGAAAGACCGTCATATGTATTTTCTTCGATCAACATTATTTTAAAAATATCAATACTCTCTCGTTTATAACTTATTTAAAAACAAATCAAGCACTATTTTAAAATCTATAATAGACATTGTACTAAAAAAAATTATACATTTAATACTAAAACAATTTTATTTTCTAGCCCCGCTATGGTTTGTATCTAAAAAAATAAATAAAGTGTTATAATAACTGATTCCGGTTTTGTTACTTAATTAAAAAATATAAGCGTTATGAAAAATATTTATTTTAAAATTTTCATTTATGTATATTGTTTGTATATTCTTTATTGGGGATACAAAGTTAAATAAATCTTATCGAAGAGATAAAAGATCTGTCCGTATTAATTTGTGTTTTATAGTCTTCTTATTCTACTCGTATATTAGAGAACTGAATTATAGGAAATATTCGTCTTTTTTAGCACTTAAAATTAATTAAAAACGTGTTGAAAATTAAATGTATTAAAATACAGTGGACACTTTTATCTTTCAATTTTGGTAAAGATAATCTAAATAAAACATTACGAGTTAAAATATATAAGGTTTTCATTAATAAATTTCGCTGAATTTCCGCGATTTCGATAAATATGCATGATAATAAAGTAACTATACACTCTGAATTTAAAAATGTCTATTATAGGCGTGACTTGAATTGGAGGGTGTTGATATAATTTTTGCAACATTACATTTTGATCTCAATTTCTAAAGTTGCGATTAATTAAGAACCTAAATTTATTCAGGTTGTTATGATAGCGTAGAATTTCTCTAATTAATGCATAAATTATTAATTAATACGTTCACACTAACTTTATTAGTTTTGATACGTATTATATAGCGACATGATGAATACTTATTACAGTATCTAATAGTTTGCACAAAGATATCCTCAATTTTGCTTATAACGATTTTTGGCTTTAATCTTTAGTAGGTATGTATTAAAGAAGATATTATTTGCTTTCAAACGAGTTATTTCTCGATAAAATCGGTATTATACTTTAAAAGTTATTGCCATATAAATTTGTCTAAAATGGATTTTTTGTGAAGCAATTTCAGCGCCTCCTATGAGAAAGGGGGCACATATATATAATCTGGGCACATTACATATACATAATTTTTATTTATCGATCCTTCGATTGATACTATTAGCAAATATGTGTCATGTCAATAGGTATATAAAATTATAAGCATTTCAATGGCTACCTAAGTCAAAATGTAATAAAAAAAAAACACAGGGCTGCATCAGAAGCATATGTTTTTATTTTCATAACTGGATTAGTTTTTTAGCTAGAATGGTGAAAAATATTACAAAATGTACAGAATTACGCCATCTCTTCCACATAATTTTCTGGTAAATTCATCACAGTCAATCGATTTTATCCTATCTCAGCGTTCATCATTGGGGTCCTACCAGTAGGTACTTGTCATCATCGTCACCAACATATCAGCCTTTAACTATCCACTGCTGAACCTTAGCTTCCCCCTTGGGGAGTTTTATCAGTACTTGCCACGCTTGGCAGGCGGATTGGCGACCGCAGTCAAAGTGATGTTTTAAGAGAAACGCTGCTGCCTTGACCATTAAGTTCCCTTAGTCGCCTCTTACGACACCCACGGGAAAGGAAGGGGTGGCCCATTCTATGCCAGGACCATAAGGCAAAAACATTTGGACTATATAGATAATATTAAATTTATGTGCCCAGTTAATAGGCATTACTTAACACAAACTTAGGAAATACGTGGTAGTTTCTGTGACTATTTTAGAAAGTTAATACTGATTGCAATTAGTAAGTATAAATATTTATTTTTTCCCCGAATGCAATATGTGTCTTGTTGTTGTTTGTATCTTGTATCTGTAAAAGTATAACACCTTACAATCTTTAAGAGTGATAACGATGAGGGATGATGTGGACGACATGGGCTATATATTTATAATATATTTTTTATATGCATATATATTTACCATCATCTCAACCATTATTTGTCTACTCTCTCTGAACATATGTCTCTCGCATAGACTGCCATAAGAAACAGTTTTGAGCGAACTGCATCCACTGACTCTCTATAATACCTACATTTGAGGTCGTCATGCCATCTATTGGGGGGGAGGGGGTCATTATAAACTGTGCCCTTACACGGCCCACACATAAGGATCTTTCTTTCCCATCGATTATCGGTTCTTTGAGCTATGTTAGCTTCCAGCCCATTGCCACTTTAGATATTGTCACGCAAAGGAATTCCGAGCGTTAATGTTTATATCCATATATAGTAGTTCTTTTTAAAGGGATAGAAGATTTACAGATATGGAAGTAACCACTGGTTACATAGACCTACACGAGCTTTCCCTAGTAGCATTATCTAAAATGGTGTACCATAGATATCTACATAGGAAATAGGTTATAAAAGTGCTCATTTTCTAATAACCTTTCGTTGAGCTATTAGTTTATCTGTGTTAGTATTTTTATGAGCCAAAATAAGTCAAATAGTATTCGACACATAGTTATAAGTAACATTATATCGTTGGTACTTAATGTGTATGAACTTTTAATGACCTACACAAGTCTTTGACACGTAAACAAAGAGATAACGAGACGTTTAATTGTCAGTGATAGTACGAGTTACGCCGAAAGTGGTCGAAATCATGGCTCTAAGTATTTCTGAAGTAAATGCCTTAGATGATGCTCAGTTTGAAGCAATTTTTGGTAACGTCATAGAATTGTGTTCAGATGCAGCTGTGCAAATTAGTAAAAAGAAGCCATTCAAAAACTTAGCCGATTTATGCAAAGCATTTGATCAGTACTTAGATGGGCTTAGTAAAGCAGGTATGTTGTGGACTATCTATTGTGTTCGTGTACTTAAGGTTTGGGACTAATTGGTACATTATTTTATTGATTACTTTAATGTTTGGTAACATTTTCAAAGCATATCTAAAAATAAGTGAAAAACGTTGTTAAGTAGTAACAACAGGGGGAAAGGGATTGTTAGTAATGGAGAATGAGAATTTCATTGCTAGGAATATACCCAACCAGGTCGACATCCTCGCGGTTCTCCCTGGAAACTGTCATGGTTAATTCCTGATGAATTCATCATGATGGGCTAATGGGCCTGTTTTCATTCTCATCAATCACCCTTCACTGGTGCTCCGCCAGCGTATCCCGTTAGTGCAGGTGGGGTTACCATACCACTTTCACCCATAAAAAAGAAGCGGTAACAACGTTAAATTTACAATCAGTATTTAATGAGAAACAACAAATGTTCTCCACGTATTCTAAAATAATTTAAGAAAGTTACTAAACCAAAAAGTGCCCATGTAACGTATATATTTATATAAGTTTTTAGTATTAAAAATTATTTAAAGCAAATATGGATCTAGGTTATTTTTTATAAGGTGTAATTAATTTCTAATAGACTAGATCTACATCATCATCATCATATCAGACTTTAACCGTCCACTGCTGAACATAAGCTTCCGCCTGGGAGAGGAGGGATGGGTGCCAGAAGTTGCTATGCTTGGCAGGTAAATTGGCAACTGCAGTTAGGCTTTAGAAATATTTAAGAGAGACGCTGTTACCTATCGCTTGCCTAGTCGCCTTTTACAACTCTTAACGGAAAGGGAGGGGTGGCCTATTCTATACCTCGAACACATTGGTAAGATCTTCATAACCTTGTAAATTAATGAGTTTAGATTAGTTGCTTTAAAAGTTCGTTTTATTTACTTTACAGAAAAGTTGGTAGTGCTTAGATTGCATCCAGATTTAGCTGGTCGATTGGCATCACAAGGTGAACTGACGCGGGAGTCTACCGCGGAGCAGAGGAGCGCCGGTCTCTTAGACCTAACCGAAGAACAGAAGTCTATAATTAATACTAGTAATGAAGCGTGAGTATAATATGAATGTATTTATTTGTAGATACCAAAAATATATCTAAATTATGTTAATTTAAAATAGAAAAAGTAAGTAAGTCTAGATGGGTAAAATATACCGTACGTCGGAGTTGAAATAATAATAAATTCTGGATGTCTATTACATCCATATTAAGTATTTACTTTACATAAGCACAACTGCATATGATCAGCGGCAAAATAATATGAATAGAACGGGAGTATCCATGTAGACGGCTTATGCATTAAGTCTACCTTTGGTGACTTAAATAACTCTACCTTAGCTTCATGTTTATAGTCGACTCCTAATTAATTTCGCAATTTAATAAATGAGTTCATATATATTTGATCTTTTCATTTTTTGGCCATAAAAGCATAGATACAGACAGATTAACATTGCTCTTTCTGCTGTCCTAAAATGGTTTACAGCATACAATTTATTATTAAATGCATGTCCAAATTGACAAAGCTTAGACTTTGTTAACGAAATCGTATTTCTTGGTATTACTATAAATACTAAATTACAGTGAGGAGCACATATATCAAAATTAGGTGATAGACTTGGCTCTGCTACTTATGCGGTTAAAAGAATTAGACAGTCAACAGATGTTGCAACAGCTAAACTTGATTATTTTAGCTACTTTCATAGTATTATAATCTATGGAATATTCTTGTAGGGTAAAGCGGCAGATATCCAAATTATATTTATATTACAAAAAAGAGTCATACGTTCAATTTATAATATGGGTTCAAGAGAATCTGTTCGTGAACGTTTTAAAAAATCGAAAATCCCTCACAGTCGCCTCTCAATATACATATATGAAAACATAAGGTATGTAAGAAAAATACATGATTTTATAAAAGTATGTGATCATACAAATAAAAGCATACATAATAAGGAGAAGGTTAAGAGGTTTTTAAGAGGTTAGTAATTCGTTTTCGAGAAATTGTGTAAGGTTTTATAATAAACTGCCTAAGTGTGCCCTAGTCTTACCTTAGATTTAAATTTTCTGTAAAAATGACTCTGTAAAAAGTGATATTACAGGAGCGACGATTATATAAATGATAAATATGGATGCTCAAATTAAAATTAAACAATTTACTATTAAACTAACATTATATTATGATTATATTATATTATTAATTAATTAATAATATTTATAAAAATTGACATTATGATTATTAACTAATCGTGAAGCAGTTGTGTTTGCATGGCTGAGTTTCGGTTTGAAGGGTGGGATATGGCGTGAATTTACTGGGTACAGAGGAATAACATCTGAGTCCTCAGGAATGGCAACGCATGGGGGGTATCATGGGCGAAACGGTATACTCTGTTATTTCCATGGTACTGCTCATGTCTATAGGCGACGATTACCACTTTCCATCAGGTGGGCCGTCAGCTTGTTTGCTATTTTAAGTTGTATTAAAAAAAAAAACTTATTGACTTTATTATATTAATTATTCAGACTATAAATGCCAATTCAATTCTTGTAATGTATGGGTATTTTGATAATTACATAGGTAGTATATTGACGTAATTCAAGTAACTTAAAGCTAGTCATGCTCACTATAAGGTCGTGACTGGTGGCGGTGTTATGGGCCGGGTCGTGAGTTCCCTAAAATATGATTTAACACAATGATTGACTGAGTCATCAGTACAGTCATAGAAAAATTACAACAGAAAAAGCTATTTATATATATATATATATATATATATATATATATATATATATATATATATAATTTTTTATATATATATATATATATATAATTTTTTTTACTAATCTACAATATTCGAACGAAGCTCGACGACCCATATTTTTTGCGCCTCAGTTCAAAAACACAGTTTTCAGTTGCAATCATCTGTGAATTCATAAAATTCAAACGGAAGGACCTATTTCAAAGGATTTTATTTTTTGTTTTCACCTGAAATTTATTTCACAAGACTCGTGACGTGAATGAATCTCATGAGAGATAAAAAAAAAACGTAATAATAAGTGAAGCCTTTGTCTGTTTTTTTTGTTTTTGTATGTTTATGGGTATGGCGTTCATCCAGATTTATGGACAATTTTATTGTAATGTTTTACGGTATACGATATATGAGTTTGTAGCCGTTACCGACAAGAATGTTCTGTTTTTAAACATTTGTAAGAAGTGTAGTTTGTCGTGGTTGCGAATATGGTAAAATGTAAAAGCAAATCCGTGGCCGAGCAAACGGCGAGAATATGGAACACAGTAAGATTTTAACCAGTTAAAATCCGGCTGTTTATTCGTCATTCCAGGGACGAGCGAGTGTCTTTTTTTTTATATAACTGAGAATGGCAAACAAGCTGACGGCCCATATGATGGAAAGTGGTAACCGTCGCCTATAGACATGAGCAGTACCATGGACTTAACAGAGTATACTGTTTCGCCCATGATACCCCCCATGCGTTGCCATTCCTGAGGACTCAGGTGTTACTCCTCCGTACCTATTAAATTTACGCCATATCCCACCCTTCAAACCGAAACACAGCTATGCAAACACAACTGCTTTACGGTTGAAACACGAATGAGACAGAGGTACCCAAGCAATCGACTTTTGTACAAAGTCTCCCTCGTAAAAGGTATATAAATCCAAGTAAAATGAAAAGAGGTATCATTAGATTCATCTTTACTATGTTACGTCATGATGACGCCATAAATAAATAGTGGTACATACTATAAAAAAAATGCGCGTATTTTGTAACTTCGTCACGTCCATTTGTAACAGCATCGTGGCTGTCATAGGGACCGAGTGCGTTCTTCTTACATCAACATTAATCATGAAAGTTCTATGTTTAATAAAATACTAATGTTTATTCTGTGGAGGGTTTTTTGAATTTTTATTTTTACACTACCTATCTGATCCTCGACAGCGTCGTTGAAATTCTAGTATCACTTCACATACCTACCAAAGTAAAAATTTTACATATTGAATACAAAAAACTAATATGTATGTTATAATATCTATTTTTTAGCTACTTATAGCAAATAGCTTACTTACGAACATGAATGCTTGTGTAATACGGGGGTCGAACCCACAATTGGTAGTGAGATTGCGACATATCGGTACGTCATCACGATCATCATATAAATATTTATTTTTCGGTTTACTAAATACCTAATAGGAGATGAAATTAATAATTATTATTAAGTAGCATTGTTAATGTTTAAATATATTTTGTAAATACTGTATCTGCCATCTGTAGGAAATATGTAGTAGTAACGCAAAGAATAATGTGTATGTAGAACCTGTATTCTGTCTTCGTTTTTATTCCATCATCATAGCCTACTTTAGTTCATAGTAATGCCACTAGATGGAGTTAAACAGACGAAAATCATGACCAAAAGTTTAATATCCGAAATTATGAGGTAGTAATTCATCATTTGTAGTTCTTGAGAAAAATGGTAACCTTGTATTTGATTTGGTTACTTAAGTTACCTTTTAGTTTATATTATTTTTGTTCCATCATGGGTCATAAACTTACCGATAACGATGACTACTTGAAGACATGAATGAATACGATATGTGATATGTCGCATAGCCCATCGCAATGAATTCAACAAGAATTAATCACGATGGTTTTCAGGGGGAACCATGTAGAGATTGACCTGATAGGTTATATTACTAATAAATGAGACTGTTAGTTCCCATTATTAACAATCCAACTTTTTCCTTTGGATGGAGATACCTCTTATTTATATCATTTCATAGAAGTAGATATAAAAGATACTCGATAAAAATCGAAATAACTCCTCTATATATGTATATAAGATATTAGATTTATAATTTTTTATGGTAAATGTAATTTTTTTTGTGACAGTTATTACTTGTAAATATGTTATTAATTTATTAAAATATTTTTTATGTACAGGTATAAAACGAAGTTTGGATTCCCGTTTATAATATGCGCAAGGGAAAATAAAGTGCAGTCTATCATAGAAGGTCTTCAGCGGCGATACAACAGTACTCAAGAACAAGAAATTACTGTTGGGATTAACGAAGTGAAAAAGATTTGCAAATTAAGGATACTTGATATAGTTAAGGATTAAATATATATATTGGTTACAATTACTACTAGGTAATAATCTTTTATTTTTACTAATAGTAGGTTTTTTATTATCAATTTTAACTTTTCTAAACGTGTTTAGAACTTTTACAACTTTGTTAATCAAAACAAATGTCCATAATTTAATATATGGAGATTCGTTTTGATATGGAAGGGGCAAACATATTTGGATAGCAATACTAAAATAAGGAATGCGATAAGCAAAAAAAAAAAAATCTACAGAAACATTTAGGCGTATAATTTTTTTATTTTTTCTTATTTTTATTCCCTATAATTAATGTATCTATAGGATAACAAAATATAGCCAATATAGCCATAATAAAGCCAACTGAAGTTGTTTGCTATTCTAAGTTGCATAAAAAAAAGCTGCGAATAACATTAAACATATAAATATATACATTTTTTACTACGATTTATATCGTTACTGCAGTGCTGCAGTGTTACTAGCGAAATTCTTATCTTTTTAAACTTTACCAAATAAACAGATACTTACAGATTTTTTTATACAATAAAGGTGACAAACAAGTATACAGTCCATCTGATGCTATGGTTACTGTAGCCTATAGGCACCTGTTAGTGTCACGTATGCGTCACTGACTCTGAAGAAACCTTAATATACACTTTTTGAGGAACCTCATACTGTTCTCTAGGGAGACTACTGAGTCTCTAAGGAAAATTTGGGCAGGGAACTTATTCTAAAGGCTGTTTTTTTTTTGTTTTTGATCTTAGATTATTAAATAGAAATTACTTAATTAATGTCTAAAATAATTATATCTCAATTCTTTTAAGATATTAATGATATACTAATAAAATACATACCAACACTGGAAAGACAAAAACCAAAATGATAATATATAAGCATCATTTTGGTTGCTTTTAGTTACCAATTTAGTTTTTTTTGTATCAATAAGTATATTTAATAAATTAATCAGAGCAAGTTATTAATATAAGTCGTCATAAATTAAAGATTGCTTCACAAAAAGAAAACCTACTTCAACTACTCCAATTGTGACAAAATCTGTTATTATGATTCCAAAATCAAACTACTACCAATTTTGATGGAATTTTTATGGGATCAATTTGTCAGTATATTCTCTCCCATAAAAAACATCATTTTTCAAATTGGTTTAGAGCTGACAGAATTATAGTTACAAATCTTCTTCTTTTTTGAATTGGTTGATAAAATAGCTAAGTATAGAAATTTCATTAGTTTACACTTTACATCTTTTGGTTGTTTTCAATAAATAAATATAATATTAACTGTTTTACTGTATCCGATATTTAGTACCTATATATTTAATTACTTAGTTTTTCTGTAAAAGGATATTAAATAATTTAATGTCTTTTTTAAGTAGTTTTATTGTAAAAAATATTGAGAGAGAGTTATACATATAGCTCAATATTACATTTAACTAACTTATAACAGTCCAAGAGACCTTTCCACAACAGCATGTGGTTGACCGGCTACTTCACATAGGTCTCTGGTGTTAAGGATGTCTTCGAATCCAATATCCAGGTATCTTCCAGTGAGAACATCATGCTGAAGGTTGGAACTTGGAAGGAATGGTAGTCTGCCAACCTAAAAGTATTAAGAGCATAATTCTAATTTCTATCACACATAGAAATATAAATATGTAATATCCATGGGAAGTATCATGGGTGAAACGGTATATGTCTATAGGTGATGGTTACCACTTTCTATCAGGTGGGCCATCAGCTTATTTGTCATTCTAAGTAGCATAAAAAAAAATTATATAATACCAATTAGTTAATGGTGGATTTAACACCTAATAGCGTTCTCTACCAGACATTCATGAGGCAAGCAGAAAATGAAGTAAGCAGTGTATTTACTACAAAAATGAGTACAAATATTAGTATTTTGTGATATATTTTTATTCTTCATTAAATGTTGTACTTTATTAAAGTATAATGAAGACATATTTTCCAATGGTGGGTTAGTACAAATGGGCACAACTAACATTTTTAGTATTAAAAGGGCTATTATATATATCACTTGTATGATTTTATAGTTGTATTCTGCAGTTTGCCCGTGTTAATCAGTACAAATAGTTATCAGTATTTTTTCAGACAAAAACAGGATACTTTTATGAAAGATCCATGTCTAGTTAGCAACTAATGAGTTGTAATGATGATGATGAATTCATTGTAAATTGATTAACATACCTTACTGGCAAATTTCTTCTCCATAGTAAGTTTCATTGGTGCATGTAAACCTTGAATATTACGCAGCATTGCCATATCCATTTTTTCTTCATTCAAATGATACTGCAATTTTTAAAATATTAAATTACTTATTTAACATCATATAGTTGATTGCATAAAGTACAAATTGATTATATATTATTCAGTTATAAGGAATTTAATTATTATTTGTATAAAAACTAAGTACCACACTATCAATGTTTACATCAATGGTAATCCTTCTTTGTTAAAATTGTTGAATATGTTATTAACTGATTAAAATAAAAGGAGGTTTTTAATCTGATTGTATTTTCTAGGGTTTCATACCTCAAAAAGAATAAACAGAATATACCATCCATCATAGGATCACTCGCAGTCATCTGTTTGTTACAGCCAATTTGTTCCGAAACTACTGGACTGATTGGGATGTAAAATAGTTATGAAATGATACATCATGGGGATAATTTTTGAGGGGTTAATTAGAAATAAAAAAAGGATAGAAAATAGTTCATTACTAATACTATAAGTAACAGAAGAAATTTCTTAATACTTACATGTATGAATTTAATTTAAAATTGTAAAACCTATTATCAACTAGATAATCAACATATAGAACCCTCATAACATGAGTTTAACTTGTACTTGTCCAATTTATTAATGTTTGCTACCTCAGGGCTTCATTACTTATAAACTAACTAGGAAAAAAAGTATTCTGGACGGATATACTTTCAAGTTCATCATCATCATCACATCAACCATAAACAGCTAAGCTAAGCTTACTGGAGGTTTGCCAGTGTTGCTATGCTTGGTAGGTAGGTTGGCAACTACAGCTGGGCTTTGGTGATGTTTTAAGAGGGATGCTGCTGCCCATCACTCAACCGTTAAATTAAAAAATAAATGGTTTTGTTATTAGTGAAGTCAGTGTTTAATTATTTATAACAAAAATTACTCCTTAATTAAGCTGTCTGTTTTATATATTTGTCATTATAATGAGGCTGTTTCCATAATTCCATAGAAAGAATAACAAATATTGAGGTTTGTCAAACTTAGATATCTTATCTTTTTATTCAAGAGAATATAAAATATATTTAAAATTGAGAAGATATTTTTGTGTCTAGATTGAACATCTGCTCTTGCAGTAAACTTTTTAAGCAAATACAAAGAAAACAATAAAATAGGATTTTTCAATACTTACATTCTTTTCTGAGTATTCTAAAGGATGTCTGGTACCCAAATTTAATTTTGTGCCACCAACTCCAGCAACCAATGGGTCTGGTATACCAAATGGACCCTCTTGGACTTGTATGTTATTTACATTTTCTGGCTTGACTTTCAAAGATGGTAAACCGAAACTCTGGAAAATAATTGGTTAAATTATGAGAGCCACTTCAGAGTAGATACATAAATTCACTATAGTAAAGAAATTCTTAACCTTAATGATTTTACTAAAAATGCAATATCATCGTCCAATAAAAACCAGACCGGTGTTTATTAAAAGATGATTGATATATCTAGGATAAAATTATAGTTTATTCCATTAATATAAACAATTACTGTTGTATAAGTTAATGTTTTAGTATAATGTATTTTAAGTTTCGCTTTTAAAATTAGAAATTAACCTGAAAATTGATTAATTATATATAACTCACCATTGTGATGTTGTATGAAATGTATTATCGTTCTTAATCCAAAAATACTTTTTCAGTTGATAATTTTTAATATAAATAGATTAGGAAATATTTTTTGTTGCTACTTGAAATCTTACCAAGCAAAAAAACAAAATATCAAGTCAAGCACTTAAAAAACCAGAATAATAGAATGACTTATAATTATCACCACAGATAGAGAAACTACATACGTCATTATGACATATAACAATTACTACAGATGAAAATATATCATAGAGAAATTTCTAATGATAGTCAGACATGTAACATTTCAAATAAAAAAGTTTTTATGAATTCTATGCATGATATATTATGACATGCAAATATGTTAAATTTCGTGAATATTTTGACAGCTCTTGTAGCTCTGCTTTGTGGCGATGGAATAGTCTTTAACTGTTATTGAATATATTCGATTATTATACTCATAGAATTCGTGATCAATACTTGCATGTTCATGTAGTATGGATTATAATATATATTAAATTCAAGAAATAGATTATTTCTTACTTCTTGAATTTAATATGATAATAAAAGCAATTCCGTAATGAATTTCAATTCGTGCATATTTTTATTCAGTCAATCTAAAAATTCAGTAGAATATACATGCGTTGTTCGTTATTTAAAAGTTTTTTCGTTTCTTTTGGCATTATGTAACCAAATTGCCATATATTGAAAGTGTCTTATTGTCAATATCATAAAAAATTGTGGTAAAGTAAATTATTTCACTTTTTACTAAAAAAAGGTATCAGTTATTCTTGGATCATACTTTATTTATATTCAATTCTTTAAAAGTTTATTAAAATTCGTGTTACATGTTTAATATATGCATAATATTATAGTATTTTTTTTTTATATTTTTGAAAAAACTACACAAAGTTTTTTTTTTATACTCTTTGTTTACATTTTTTTCTCGAATTTCATTCCTGTAACCCATACATAGAGATTTTTATCCGTTTTGTCAAAAAAAAGATAGTGCCAACTCTTAACAATGAAGTCCGTTATAACCTTAGATTAAGGATAATACCAGTAATCTCACTGATTCTATAGTGATAATTATAATTCAAAACTTTAAATTGACTTACTGTCTTGCTGTTCCTTAGTGCTGCTCTGCATAAAATACTTCGACTGTTGTTATTATTTTCAATGTACAACTAAACCGATTGCATTAAGCAATGCAGTTGCAATAGTCACCTAGTTCTTGTTCCTTAGCATTAATCCATAGATTAAGGATAGTATCTGCAAGATAGCCGAATAGCAGTCACTTATTACGTGAGGTTGTAACTTACAAAGGTAGTAAAAACGGAAAAATATTTTAAAAATTGCTCCGTAATGTTTAGTTACAAAATAGTAAAATATAATTTCATTACATAGTAGTATTGACTTGCTATTAAAAGTTTCTTTTTATCGATATTAAAATTATTGAATTAATCAAAAACCTGAATATATTTGAAATTACAAATGCTTAAAGTCTGAAACTTTAAGTTATTGATTGATCAACTATGTATAGACAGTAATAAAATCTAAGAGGTTTATTACTATGTGTCAAAAATTATTGAGTTTCAAGAAGTTTAGCTTTTAATTTGCAATAACGTAATTACGAGACGAAAGAAGAATTGTATTTTATTGCATTGTGTTTTTAAAATGTATGCAAATGGCAGTTCCGAATTATAAAGAATTGAAGTTGCAAAAAAAGCAAAAAATCATATAATTGTTATAATTTTTAAGCGAACAACATTTTTGATAGTTCTATAATAATACATCTAAAAAACTAAATGAAGATGTATTTACGGGAAAAAATGACAATATAGCAGTTTTCTCCTAATTTATGTTATACATTTCCAAACGTAAAAATCTGAATTTATTTTTCCATACTCTCGCTTAATCCTTTTTGAGTTTATACATATATATATGAACTTCCTTGTTTGTCAGTCGCTCTAATATACATGTTGCTATTTTTTCTCTTTTACATTATCAATCTATGTAACTGGTAATCTAAAAAGTATCTATTTACTTTCAATTGCCTGCTATATAATATATAAGTATAAAAATAACTATAGTAATTTGTCCTACTACATACAAAAAATGCATGCGAAATGAGTTTCCTCTTTTAAAAATCACTTAAAAAATAAATAAATAATGATGGATACAAAATGTCAAATTTTGTGCATATTTCATGAATAAACAAATTCATTTACTGTGCACTTAATTATTTATTCTATTATTTTTGTGAATAAACTCTCCTCACAATGACTAGCCGTGGAGGAGCAAAGAAAGAGCTGGTAAAATTAATATTTAGTTATTTCTGTTTATAGAGTTTTGTAATGATTGGTTATTGTGAATAATTTTATACTAATTTTAATAAAATAATATTAGAGGTAGAAGCGATAAAGTGCACTATGGCTATAAGCTTTTTTAAAATTGTAACTAACGGCTATTCTGTAACGTTTATGGTGCTGGTCATAGACTGTATACTCTTTACTGCTGTAGTATGTGTTGTGTAACGTACTTACGTATTAAGTGTTCTTTATGTCTTTTGGCGAAGATTACCGCTTTTCACCAGGTACGCAGTTAAGTTACTTGAAAGTTTCATTAAAGTTATATTCATTAAATAAATATAAAGTTTTAAATTTACTGATAAGACAAGTACTTACTTTATCCATAACTATGTATCTTAGACCATATTTCAATTAAAAATAGAGCATCGTATGTTCAAAAATAGGTCAAAATTTAGTCTAATAACTATCAAATGAAATTCAACTCGGCTTGGCAGTATTCGGAAAATTACGCCAAATCTTAATTCGTATCCAAAATACTTTAAAGATTGGAAACAAAGGTTTTTGACCAGTGCGTTTTGCGAATTACCTATGCAATCGAAACATGGTCCTGCACGGTTGGCCGTATGCAAATGCTTCAAGTTACTCAGTGAGCTATGGATAGAGCTATGCTCTTGTTATGCTATGTTATGAGTTTATTTGCTTGATAGAATGTGAAATGAGGGTATCCGGAGAAGAACCAAAGTATATTTCGGTACATACATGAAAAAATTTCTCTAATCTTATTTATAAATATGTCAAAGTTCCAATTAACCTACCCTATCAAAGTGTGTTTTTCCTTTCCACTAAGTTGTCTATTGAAAAGAAAGTACCCAGTGAAATACTCTTCTAGTTAAAATTTCTTTGTAGAACATTTTAATGTTTAGAGGTAAGACGGTAAGATTTTATCATTATTGCACGTATATACACGTGTGAATTGATCAGTAAGATTTATGAGGCTATCGTATATGTTGCCGAATTTAGTTATTTTTCTTTCACTTTAATGTTATTTTATTTCGTTTCCACTGAACAAGTAAGCACGATAGTTCTTAATATCTCTTTAGATTAATTAGATAAATTAATTTTGATTTAGGACCCCGAAGAACAGATACGGCAGAAATTTCGCGCCAAATGCTTATTTCGTGCTCTCGGGCGTTTTGTTATGGCTAATACGTATTGGTTGATAGAAGCAGTTGACCATTACGAAGGCGTGGAGGATGTTAAAAGAAGGGTGGAACAAGCAGTGCGAGGAAAGGCTAAGAAAAAACAGCTATTGACTGTTACTGTACGTACCTACTTTCACAACGAGTAGATATATATAAAACAATGAAATCTCATTTGTAGTGATTTCAAATATTACCTAATCTAAAATGCTGATCAACTATTTCAGATTAACATTAGCAATGATTAACAGACCAAATTTTTTGTATTCATATATTATTTATGTTCTGTTTTTTTATCAATCGGATATTTTTATCGGTCCCGACCCACCTGCATTTACTGATTCCCTTCAATACATTTGTGGTAGTCGCTTTATCTAATGGGGAGTACTTATTTGTATAATGATCTGTAATATAAAATATTCTTGTAGGATAAAGCACTTTTAAATAAACCTGCTGAAGAAAGAACAGAGCAGGAGAAAAAGTACATATATCGTATCATTGGAGGATTAAAATGTTTCAAACGTTATCCAAATGTAAGTTTATGACTGAGAATTACAATGCCCTGGAATTATTATCAATATTTATTTAGAATAACTAAAGCTACCGGAAAGCATGCAAGATTCAGATTAGTGAGATTTGTAGGTATTACTACTAGTACTATTGTTGTCTTTATATTTCAGTCATTATTATTTTAACTGTAAGTTTTTAATTTAAGTAATTAAAAACTTACAGTTCATCGTGTTTAGTGATTATGTCAGTTAATAAATAATTAATGCATAGATTTCTAGGTACATATAAATTAAGGCAATTTAAAAATGTATCTATAGCATGTTAAAAAGAAATTGGCTGCGGTGACGTACTTTAAGTACTACGGGCCAGGACGGACCATAGTTCGTCAACACCACGAAGCCCACGCTCTATACTTCATAATGACTGGTGACATCATCGTTAGCCAGATGGTGTTTGATGAGTTGCTCCAACAAAATGTTTCCGTGGACGTCGGTGTTATGCACCCTGGTGATATGTTTGGTGAAGTATCTTTGCTCCATAACATTCCGAGAACTGCGACTGTTACTACTGCTGGTTAGCTTATATTCAACATTATATTCTCTAATAATATCATTGTAATAAATTAATCACTTATTTAAAAATACCTACTACCTTCTTACAACAAAGCTAATAATAGCTACCATTATAGTCCAATTAGGAGAAATTGTTTTGTCATGACACTATTGTCCTATTTCTTTATGGTCTTGTCCTATTTTCTTTAACAAACTCTAAGGAAATCGATTATATCCTTATTGATCACACTAAATAAGTAGCACAGCAACAGTGAACAAGATACGTGAAGTTAGTTGTGTTGTCAACAAAGAAGTGATAAGTTGTACATTCACTATACTAGGTCACTGTGAATTGCTGGTATTAATGAAAGAAGATTTCAAAAATGTGCTCCAAGCGTCTGTGCAGAAACAATGGGATGAAGTGCGACATGCGATGTCGGCATTCACGTACTTCGAAGCTCTCGATGAGGTTTATTTTTCATATATATAAATTAGGTGACATTGGCCAATTTTAATTCTAAATACTTTGTCTAAAGTGTAGACAAAGGATTCGCGAATTATAATTCTGAAGTTAGAACGCGTTTGCAATAATAAACATTAGCGTGTACAGTTTATTATCAATACGGATTGTACCTAATTTGAGATAAAAATAAATAAGTGTAAGGTGTGTTTCGACAAATTATATTTTACGTATTTGCATGTAGAATATTTTTATACTGATATTATGACCAGTTTCGATAAACTTGAGATTACTAGTAGAAAATAAAATAAAAGAAATATTTTTTTATTATCAGGTCGCCCGTCGTGAAGGTTGTATAGTAGCTAAAATGAAGTCGTACAAGCCGAATGAAACCCTCCTCGGAGACGGCGTGGGAGTGGCCAATTTTGTCTACTTTATTTTATCAGGCCGTTGTCAGATGATTGAGACCATTCAAGTGATCGTCACAACTCGTTTAGGACGAAGTTATTATGCACTCTACGATCCATATGTATGGTGTTCAATTATTCAATTTAGTTTCACAAGTCGTCACGATACTAATTCTTTTTGCATTCAAGGTTCCAGAAGAAGAAAGCGAGCAAGATTTTGAAACCAAATATTTTGGGGCATACAAAAATCTCAACAAAGATACACGTGATTCAGTTGATAGTACACATGAATCTATTCACGAAGAACAGAATAAAAACAATACTGTGCCTGAAGGGATACATAGTATATTGAAGCCTTTAAGTAGTAATAAACAAAAACGATCGGGAAGTTTGAAGTGCAACAGCGAAAATGTACATATTGATAATAAGGACAATTTGGTTAAAGACGGTGTTAAAAGCGAAACATTAAAAGCACAGTCAGGGCGCTCTTCTTCTGTGAAGTCGCAAGTACTGTTGGAGCCTTCGGAACACACCCGACAATCTATCAGGTTGTTAGGAGCACTCATTGAATTTGTATATACATACATATAAAAAGTGAGATAGTAACGAGATTATATATCTGTTTTAAATATTTCTTGTATAAAATAATTGTAATCTTTAATATTTCAGATTAAGTGTGATTCCTGAAAAAATTCAACCCGCATCGGCACCTTTAAATATTCGGACCTATTTCATGCAGGTCTATGCTTACCTACAACATAATTTTAGTAATATAGTATCTATATTTAGTTAAAGCGCTGAGTATCAATTTAAATCCTAAAAATCTTTTAGTTACGTACGAAAGTGGTTACGAAATTATATAGTATTAATTAATATTTTCATGAATAAAATGGCGTTTTGTGGGCTGAGGCATCAATTACATGATTAAAACAATTATAGTTAGGTCATTTTGTCGTCGTCGAATAATTTTTAAGAAGACTATCTACTTAGATGTTAAAGATTTATGATTCAACTACTATTAGGTGTGCCAGTTCAACCCGGGTTCAAGTTTTGGTTTCGGTGAGAATATGCGTGACCGCCGCATAGTAGCGTTAACTCCGGTTGACTGTATGCTACTTCCGAAGATATGGCTGCTCCAGCGAAATACTGCCAACATTTGGTCTCGTATTCAACATTATCTAGAGAAAAAGGTACACTATATTATTTATCATTCCTGTCCTAATGGTAGTCTTTTGTGACTAGTGTGTCTCTGTAGACTATGTGATAAACAAATCTATTGATAGTTAAGTTTTTTTTTTGCTGTATGTATTAGAATGAGAGAGCAATATCTAACATTGATAAGTATGAAATAAGATAATGCCATGACAATGCAACCTTTGATAAAGCAGAGATTATGCTTAGATTTTAAGCTTTCATAAGCTATTATTTTCATAACATTGTTCATGGGCCTGCATTATATTTATTGGTATATGAATTGCGACTTTCTTCAGATCACTCAAAAAGTTCCTATTCATTCATTGACATTTATAAATAATAGGATAAGTGCAAGACCAATAAGAATATTGGCCACAAGCTACAAGCTAATGAAATTGTTGGTTTCCAAGCAAATTAAATAAATTTATTCCAAGCGATCACTTTTAAATACGAAGTTTAAAATTTTAGTTTTTTTTCCTTGTAGTGGTTAATCCATAGAAGTTTTAAGTTTCTACTTGCCTGGATGAAGAGTCCATTTCCTATGAGTCACGTAAAAAAGTTTTTAGTGAGTTTTGACATTTTTATAAGTTGGTAACCTTAGTTTACTGTTTTATTTCATATGAGGTTTTACCCGGATCTTAGTTTGTGTGATCGGGATAATGTTCTCTAACCGGGATAATATAGTAGCCTATGTCCTTCTGCATTTCATATACTAAATTTAATTATGACTGATTGTCGTTAAGGTGCTAAAAGGTAACAAAGAGACAAATAATTTTATGTATAATAATTAAATATTAATTTGACACGATATTTCGTCATAGTCGTAGAATACTGAAGAATCTATATATGTAATATTTGTCAGATCCTTCAGTATTCTACGACTATGACGATTTTATATACATATAGGTATATGACATTATACGTAAGCAAATAAACTGGTAAGTAGCTATGGTTAATTTATGGAGACTTGCAAAACTAACGGTAACACAGTGCGTCACCATCTTAAGAAATATCAATGATGTAATCATACTTTTGGTAGCGTTGCGACGGTTTGAGTAAGAAAAGATCCGGATGTATTAATATTAAATTTAAAAGATTATCTTCTATGCAGAACACATTTATGTATGTATATTATCCTGTCTGTATTATTAACCTGAAATAATATTAAAATATGAAAATATTTGTAATTAGAAAAATGATTTTATTTTATTAAATCGAGTTAAGTTATAAATTAGGTAACCTTTTCACTTTTGTGCTCTAGTGTAAATCAATACTGCAGTCGGAGTTACCATTCTACTTTCATCAGCACATTAGCAGTTATCTGTCCATTGCTATACATAGTCCCTATTTAGTAGTGGACAGATAATTGTTAATACGGTTATTTAAAAATTACCGCGCTTGGCAGGCGGGTTGGTAGCGGTAGTTAGCTTATTAATGTTTTGAAAGAAACGCTGCTACTTAACTCAACCCTTAAGTTCGTCACCTCTTACGATACTCACGTAAATGGAAGAGTGACACAGTCTATGTCTGGGCTAAACGGCATAGAATTTTATTTCTATACATTGACAAAATATATCTTTATCAATCTATAGTTATCCAGTCAACTGGCCAATGATAACTGAAAACTGATCATAGTTGTTACCATTGACCGCAGCCATTATCGAAGTAGAAGATAGTTATTATGATTATTATTTGTAGTTTTGTAAAAAGGGGAATTTCTGTTTATGTATATGTCTGTCCCTTTGGGTTTTTTTTTAATTTTATATTGATAAGATAATTTTTTTGGGAGTTAGAAAGATAAGAGCGATAAGTAAGTTATCATTCCTCATTGAGCTGCAAATGTTATTGTTATTAGCAATAATTACGAATAGAAAATGTCGCAATCGATATTGAATATAATTGCTTTTTTTATGGGTGAAATCGGTACGTTTGGTTTACGCTGTGCCGAGTATCAGTGTCGGATTAGATGAGAACTGAGTGAAATTTGGTATATGAATTGATCTAGAGTAACAAAAGAGTAACTTTATTCTGATATATGTATTAAAACGCAGCACCTATTTATAGCTTATTAAGCTTAAATATCTTAAACTATCTAATATTTGATGTTTATCGTCACTTTACAATAACTAATAGTTTGTTTTCATTGCCATAAAAGTTTTATTTTTACTCCTTTATGAATGAATGAATATATGAAATGAATTTATGGGCTGACACAGATTATCTGAAAGTCTATTATACTTAGTAGATACATATTTATAATGAACTTTAAAGGAAATTTTGTTTCTTAATACAAGCTGGTGGATAAATTGTTATTGTGCGAGAGGCTACCTGTTAAATGTTATAATACTACGAGTCATTTCATACTCAACAGATACCAACAAAGAAGCAATTGTTTAAAGAGTTCGTCTCCCAACGTCGCTGGCAAGAGTTTCGCGAACAGATGGTAAACGATGTCGTTTCCCGCTCAAACACCGTTAACTGGACCTCCGTCCATGATGTACCGTACTCTATTAGAATGGAGGAAATGTTTGACATTTGAAATATAAAACAATAATTGTTAACTTTTTAAAATATTAACTCATTTGATATACAAGTAATGTATGCAGTTGTATTAAATTTTATGTAGAAGATTGAGGTGTTTTATTGACGCAATGCAGCATTATAAAAATTAAACATAATAGGTATATAAATAGTTTTAAGATCCTATCATCCAAGAAAGAAGAAATATCAATTTTATTTATAAACATGATCTTATCTGATATATAAATAGAAATGCTGTCAACGTTGGAAAATATGTCTTGAAATGCTGATAAGAAAAATGAGAATATAAAAAATTTGAGCTGTAGTAATTATTTCTGGATAAAAGTTAACATAAATATAACACAAAAAATCAGTTATATACATTTTAGAAATAAATAGCAAAAGAATATATTATTTTTGTTTTCTATTTCTAGAGTTTAGGAAATTAATCACTAAAAAATATTCAACTAGGAAAGCATTTTAAGATAACATTCGCTATAAATACTTGTACTATCCATAAAAGGTAAGGGACTTTTATAGAGGTATTCGCATACTGTCAATAGAGGCTAACGGGGGCGGAGGCCGTATCGCGCAGAAATGACTAGGCAAGTAGGTGTCACTACGTTGCGGAATTAATAAAGCAAGGTATAAAGTAACGTGGTGACGAAGAGATTGAAGGTGTATTTAAACAGCTACGTTTTTTTAGCTATTGTTGGGTTTAAGGTACTATAATAACACATTATACATAATAACGCTTGGGTATTATGCTTGAATAACAATTTAAGCAGAAATATCTCTATAATCGTAAGTTAAAGTAAAAAAATCTTCATCATATCAGCTGTCATCTCTCCACTGCTGAACAAAAGCATCCCCCATAAACCATAAGGAACATGACCATTTCTTATGGCAGTTTACTTTTGGAGGGATTTTACCACGCTTGGCAGGTGGAATGGCAACTGCAGTTTGGCTTTTGGTGATGTCTTAAAGCGTCCCTACGCTTCTGCACATTTCTTGGCCATTCAGTTCCCTTAGTGGCTTCTTATGACACCTACGGGAAAGAAAGAAATAGCTCATTCTATGCCGTAACTACACGGCAAAGTAAATATTATTATTTTCTTTGGCATTTATTTTCACTAATAATGTTTATGAACAACAAGTATATATATAGTAGTTGCATGGGAAAAGTTTTTAGCGATCTATGACATTTTCGAATATTTCGTTGGGCCTATAGAATCATTTAATCTAGATTAGAAAATATGTCGATTAGTATCAAGAAACTGTATATGTAAAATATCAATTTTTATTCTAAGTATATTTTCTTCAAAATCAATTAAAGAATATCTAAAAGTTAAGAACGGTGATGTCCTAAAGACGATTTTATAGGAGGAAAAGCGATTGCTAGTAATGGAGACTGAGAATCCCACTACTAGCTATATATCCAACCAGGTCGACCTCCTCGCGGTTCTCCCTGGAAACTAACATGGTTAATTCCTGATGAATTCATCATGATGGGCTAACTGGCCTGTTTTCATTCTCATCTATCACCCTTCACTAGTGCTCCGCCAGCGTATCCCGTTAGCGCAGGCAGGGTTACCATACTATTTTTACCCATCAAAAAAAAAACGATTTTATATATGTTAGTAACCTCAGTGGAATATGTAAGTATGTAATATCATATCTGTTTGCAACGTCAACCGCGTTATCTCTAAATAATAAATAAAAAAACTCTTTAATCTATTGAAGCCGTCATCCGGCAGGATAGCTGATAAAATTGGTATTATGTATTAAATATTACCTAAATATTAAAATTAAACAGTTACCTATTTATTTACTTGCTTAAAAATTTTTGACTGAGACTGAAACAAAACAACATTGGTGCAACTACCTACGGGTACACATTCCTAAAACATACATACCTACATACATGAAATGTAAGACAAAGGTGATAAACTTTTTCATAGTAAGTATCAGAGCCTGAAAATCGTAATGATTGGATAACTATGGTAACGACATACGACGATGATGCCACGCGACACGTAACCAAGGCGACCGGTTTTGGCGGGAAGCACCCACGCGCGAGCCCCAAGTGTACAGTCGACGCAGCAAACAAGCAGCACAAACATTCGACCGCAGTGCACCGCGAGAACCGATCGCCGCGCGAAAATACGACGTCAGCCACGGCACGGCTGATCGAACACGTACTATTAATGATAATGTAAATAAACACATTGGATTTTTAATTAATTACTTATTACTCTTATACTTACAAGATACTTACATGTTTCTTTATATAACTGTTAAGAAGTTTCGAGGAGCTTAAATTGGTAAGTCATTATTGTTTGTAGTTTAATAATACTCATTAGGATAATTTTTATTAATAACAATAATCTTTACTAATAACAGTAAAATAAAAATTATAAACTTATTTTGCAAAAATTAACGAATGAACATTACTAGCATAAATATGTAGGTATTAGAATACATTTAAGCTATTACTACTTTATAATACATATTAACCAGTAACGGTATAATGTTGATAGTTATTCACAATTTACATTGTAATTAATACTGACATCACATTCATGTAAATATATACCAGTATTTACTGCATAAAATTTATATCCAATTATAATATATAATTGTTATATGTACTAAACTATTTAAGTATAAACTGAAATAATTAATAGCACACAATGCTTCATTTATATATACCCTGCCAGGTCGACCTCCACGTGGTTCCCCTGGAAACCATCGTGCTGAAATCCAGATGTATTCATCACGATGGGCTAACTGACCTGCTTTTTCATTCTCACCTATTATCCCTCATTGGTGCTCCGTTAGCGTATTCCATTAGCGCAGACGGGGTTTACCATTCCATTATCATCCATTACAAAATGTTTCACTTATTATAGTAACATCTCAATTTTTTTTTAATGGTTGATAATAAAATAGTAACCCCGCTTGCGCTATTGGTATATGCTGGCATCATACGGGACACCAGTGAGGGATGATAGGTGACGATGAAGCAGGTCAGTTGGCCCATCGTGACGAATGCCACATAAATTAACCACGACAGTTTCCAGGAGGAACCGCGTGGAAGTCGACCTGATAGGGTGTACTGCTAGTAATGCGGAAATTAGACCCCATTACTAACATCTGAAACAGTACACTTATTTGTAACAGTTACTTCTCACAGTATAGGGAAACAACAGGTAACTATTTCTATGTAACTAAAGAAAATGTAACTTGGACTATAGGTATAGAGCTTATTTTCATTCTAAAATTACTTTTTTTTTATTTTGCTAAATCTTGAACATTGTGTTCTTGAAAATCTTGGAACTTTGAGATTTTCAAAATTTTCTTTTATAATAAACTCAATAAATAAAAAAAAAATGTTCTTTACATACATGATGAAATATTTTATAACCACATTTAATACGTATTTAAAAGAACGTTTTATATAATTGAACAAGCCGTTCTCAATTTTTGCACTAAGCAACACATTTGATTAATTTTTATTTATTATAAATTAGTAAATATACTAGTAGTAGTAGGTTAATACTGGTAAATTATTTTTGTTAAGGCTAATTTGTGGTTTGTTATTTTTCTACTATACCAAAACGAGTACATACTATACTGCACAGATATTGTTTATTCGTTTTTTATAACAGGCATTTTTTTTTAAGAAAATTTTTCGTAGTTACATGTACTAGAGCCTTACTGTAAATATTTCAGTGGCCGTAGATTATATCAGAGTAGGTAGGAACTTATATGTGAGCCTTCATAAATATCACACCAGTATATGAGGCCATATCAATAAACAATGCGTCTGCTGCGAGTGTAAATTGTGCCTGTATTAAATCAGGGCAATTCTGATCTCAAAAGATCACAGAGCATCAATAAAGACAATTTATGGCTTGTAATTTTCAAAAACTTCTGTAGGATTTTTGTTTACATAACAAATACGTAAATCTTGTGTAGCATTAAGAATTAAATAAGAATACGAAATATAAATGAGTGTGTGGTATGATGACTAATTTTGACCAATTTTTTTTTATATTTGTCTAAAATTGGCGTTTAGCTTGTAGTAGATTTTTGCTTTCCAATTAGTTATTTGAATATTATACCAAATGTTAGTAAATATCATGGCATTAATGTAGACATTATGCCATTGTAAACATGTGTCAATACTTGTATTATCATGATCGCTATTCTTAATCTATAGTTTAAAGGGATTTAATGATTAAAGCGATTAAAATAAATAGTAATTTATCATTTGTGTACAAGTATATGCAAACCAAATAAGGTTTTATTTTCAGCTTGCTTGTAAGGTCTGATGTTGGTCTGATTGATATTTTATAAAAGCAAAAACTAAGGAAAAGGGTAAAAAAGTGAAGATGTTCTAAATGTATAATGTATCTTCTTTTAAAAATCATTAATGTAATTAACTTTAAAAATATGTAATTTTTACGATGAGTTCAATATTCTAGTTTTAGCGATTTCATCTAAGATACTTTGCATGACGAGTCGTTCATAAAGTTCGCCATTGAAATTTTTATTTTCTCTAGCAAGTTATATTTAAATTAATTTATTGGTTTGTCTATGAAAACGTAATAAATATATTTTGTTTTATATTTTTACTAGACTAATAAATTGTTATTAAACTTAAGATTTGAAACTACGGTAAAGAAATTAACATTTAAATTAAATTTTATGTATGTTAAGCCGTGGTTTGCTTGCTTAGTTTTATCCTTGACATTTCACAATAGAATACAACCTTTATTACCAGAATATTCTATTTTGTTATTACTTCAATGCCATCAATTGCTTCCTGCAATTAAATCATTGGTGTAGAATGTCTAGATCTGCATACGATATTGTACCTACAGTCTTGCATAAATAAATTATGAAAATTATGGCTATAAAAATAAAGTTACTATTTAAGGAATTCTGTATTATAGACAATTCGAAGCTGAGGCGATATAGTGGATTTTATATAGGTATGATCATCGCTTTACCAGGTCTTTAATAATGCAGTTTGTTACTAAATAGTCGATGACTACATTCAAGGCCAGTAGTTGGTCAGGTTATCGTAATATCAGTA